CAAACTATTCCACGTACTGACTACTCTGTGGCTGAAGAAAAACTTCCTAACATCCCTGTGATTCATCTGTGTCTTCAGCTTCCAACTGTGTCCCTTGTTACTGTGTCCATCTCTGGAACATCCTGTCTCTGTCCCCCTTGTCAATTCCTCTCAGTATTTTGTATGTCGTTATCATTTCCCCCTATCTCTCCTGTCCTCCAGTGTCGTCAGGTTGATTTCCCTTAACCTCTCCTCGTAGGCATACCCCTTAGCTCTGGGGGTAGTCTTGTTGCAAACCTTTGCACTTTTTCTGTTTCTTTACGTGGTTGGCTAGGGGTGGGTTCCAAAAAGGTGCCGCATCCCCAATATGGGCCAACGTACAAAGGTGTATAGGGTCCCGAAAGATTTCCCTTTTTAAGATGTCGGAATGCTGTCGAGGGGTTTTTAGCCGCCCATTGCTGCAGCATTATTTGGGTTTATGTGCGCTTCAGGAGAGTACCCGGTTTTTTACTCAAACCCCCCGATCTTTTTCCCTTTGGGGAGGTTTGTAGTCTCTGGCCCCCCCAGACTGTTTTCTCCGTCGCGGTCTTTTTTGCCCTTTCCCCAAACTTTATGACTTTGCACTTGGTGGATTGAACTCCGGACCAATTCTGGACCAGGTCGCAGCCTGTCCCGATCCCTTTGTAGTTCTCCTGCTTCGATCGAGTGAAATTTTTCTCATCAACTTCACTCTCTGCAAACAGGGGCACCTCAGAGTCTATTTCCCTTCCCTCATGTCCACAAAAAACCACAAACAGCATGGTCCTAGGACTGACCCCGCGGGCCCCGTGGTCACGGTGCCCACTTGACACCCCCGCCCGTACCTGACCGTGCTGTCTTCCCGACAAGATTCCCCGACCATTGTAGTGCCTTCCGTTATCCCGCTTGGTCCCCCAGTTTTTTGCACCAATCTTTGTGTGGAACGTTTTAAAAAACGCCTTCTTGCAGCCAAGAAAAGCAACCCACCCACCCCTCTCTCTTTTGTCTTCTGCTGTACCATGTCATAGAATCCAGTGGGTTTGTGAAACAGGTTTTCCCGCCCCTAAAACCCTGTTTGGCGGGTTTTGATGAACGTTCCTTTCTAGGTGTGTGGTGTGTGTGTGGTGTGTTGTGTGTGTTTTGTGTGTGTGTGTTGTGTGTGGTGGTGTGTGTGTGTGTGTTGTGTACTCACGTAGTTGAGGTTGCGGGGGGTCGAGTCCGAGCTCCTGGCACCGCCTTTCCCTGGTCGCTCTGGTACCCCCCTGAGCCTGAGCTTTAATTACCTCTGCTTAAAGCTGTATGGATTCTCCTCCACTAATCGCTTCCCAAAACTCTTTCCATTCCTGACTACTCTGTGGTGAAGAAATACTTCCCAACATCCCCGTGATTCATCTGTGTCTTGAGCTTCCAACTGTGTCCCCCCTTTTTTACTTGTCCAATCTCTGGAACTCCTTCTCGTCCCCTTGTCAAACCTCAGTATTTGTATGTGTTATCATTTCCCCCCATCTCTCCTGTCCTCCAGTGTCTCAGGTTTGATTTCCCCTTAACCCCTCCTCGTAGGACATACCCCTTAGCTCTGGGATATCTTGTTGCAAACGTTTTCACTTTCACGGTTTTTTTACGGCTTGGTAGGTGTGGGTTTTCCCAAAATGGTGCCGATACTCCCCTAGGCCTAACGTACACGGTGTACAGGGCCCCGAACGATTCCTTTTAAGATGTCGGAATCTGTTCTGAGGTTTGCCGGGGGCCCCCTATTTGCAGCAGTTATTTTGGGTTTTGCTTTAGGAGATGTGCCTGGGGTTAAAATCGCCCCAAAACTTTTTTCTTGAGCGGGTTTGTAGTCCTGGCCCCCCTAAATGTACTCCCTCTGCGGTCTCTTTGCCCTTCCCCCAAATTTCGACTTTGACTTGGTGGGGGGTTTAATCCAGGGGCCCAAATTTTTGGAAGGTTGCAGCCTGTCCGATCCCTTGTAGTTCTGCCTGGTCTTGGATCGAATGAATTCTTTCATCAATTCACGTCATCTGCAAACAGGGACACTTTGGAGTCTATTCCTTCCCTCAATTTATTCACAAATACCAGAAACGCACTGATCCTTAGGACTGACCCCTGTGGGACCCACTGGTCACAGGTGCCCACTCTGACACCTCGTCACGTACCATGACTTGCTGTCTTCCTGACAAGTATTCCCTGATCATTGTTGTGCCTTCCCTTTATCCCTGCTTGGTCCTCCAGTTTTTTGCACTAATCTCTTTTTGTGGAACTGTGTCAAACGCCTTCTTGCAGTCCAAGAAAATGCAAACCATCCACCCCTCTCCTCTTGTCTTACTGCTGTCCCATATCATAGAACTCCAGTAGGTTTTGTGACACAGGGTTTTCCCATCCCTGAAAAACCCTATTGGCTGCTGTTGATGAGATCATTCCTTTCTAGGTGTTCCACCACTCTTCTCCTGTTATCTTCTCCACGACTCTGCATACTTACATGTCAGTGACACTGGTCTGTAGTTTAGTGCTTCATGTCTGTCTCCTTTTTTAAAGATTGGGACTACATTTGCTGTCTTCCATGCTAGGGAATCTCCGTTTCGATAGATAATTGAATATTGTTGTTTTTTGGGGTACACATAGCGCCTTGCTCCCTCTTTTTCAGGGGCCCATGGAGAGATGTTATCCGGCCCCATTGCCTTTGAGGTATCTAGCTCACTCAGAAGCCTCTTCACTTCTTCCTCGGTTGTGTGTACTGTGTCCAGCACTTGGTGGTGTGCCCCAAACCCCTGGTCTTTCTGGAGCCCCTTCTGTCTCCTCTGTGAACACTTCTTTGAATCTCTTGTTGATTCCTCATATACTTCACGGTCATTTCTTGATGTCTCTCCTCCTTCCTTTCTTAGCCTGATACCTGGTCCTTGGGCTGTTGTTTTCCTCCTGATGTAGCTGTATAACAGCTTCGGGTCAGATTTGGCTTTCGCTGCTATGTCGTTTTCATATTGTCGTTGGACCTCCCTTCTTATCTGTGCATATTCATTTCTGGTTCTACGACTGTTCTCCCTTTTTCTCCTGGGTCCTTTGCCTTCTATATTTCTTCCATTCCCTAGACACTTGGTTTTGCCTCCCTGCACCTTTGGGTGAAACCATGGGCTCATCCTGGCTTTTTCATTATTCCTGTTACCCTTGGGTACAAACCTCTCCTCAGCCTCCTTGCACACTGTTGCTATATATTCCATCATTCATTAAATGGCTTCCCTGCCAGTTCTCTGTCCACTGAACCCCGTTAGGGAAGTTCCTCTTCCCGTGTAGTCCTTTCTTTGTGTTAGTTCCATTTGTTG